GCCGGGGATACGGACTGTAGCGCAACCAGAGAAAGGCGACAGAGACAGTGCTGCGGCTGGTGATGTTGAAATTAAAATCATATCCAAAGTTGATTCCTCATTAAGATAAGCCAAAGTTATTCAAAAGGGTACGTAAGAAAATATATTTTCTTTAGTTTTGTAAAATATAAGTGCCGTTGAAAGCTTTGTTTTTGTGTGTTACTTTCTTTCCGTGCAATACGTGACACCCTGCTACTTGACCAGACTGGGAGGGCTGTCACGTGTTGCGAACTTCTAGCGCAGCGGTTAAGCTGAGTGGTCTCCAGATCAACAGCTCATGGGTTCAATCCCAACTGTGGCCAAGTTGCCTTAAATGTTTTTTTTTTTTTTTACAAAGCATCTTAATGCACCTTTTTCCTCCCTGTTTGCACCTCCAGTAACTTCTATGCCAATATGTGACGAGTGAATTTCTCCGCTGTGAGATCAATAAAGCTCATCTAATCACATCTACTCCAATCTAAATAAATAAATAAATATACACATGTTCAATAAATAAATAAGCATTCAATTAATTACCCCCAATAAATGGTGAAATGATATGTTCTCATAATAAATCATTTATTTAAAAAATGCTGTTATGTTCCTTTTTTTTTTTAATTCCTTTTAAAATGCTTAACTATTTTTATTCTTTTATTTTCTTTCAAAAAATCACTAGATAACCACAAAAAAAAAAAAAAAATCTGTAAATGAATTGTCTTGACAAATAAAAACATTTTGAAGATATAAAAACTGTAAAATAATAGGAAATAAAATATGACTAGAAAGGATTCACAAAAAAATGAATTTTAAGTATTAAAAAATTAAATATATAAATGTTAAAGTATTGCAATTGTTTCCAAATTAATTTTTCTTTGCACCAACCAAAGGGGAAAAAATAGAAAAAAAGCATCTGAATTTTCTTTTTTTTTTTTTTTTTTTTTTGTGGTTATCTGCTGCGGACATACTGTAAGTGGACTGGTCATGTTATTGTCCGACTGATGTGTGGGTTATACAGGCCAAACATCTTCCCTTGCCAACCCAAATAATGAAATCCGTTTTTTTTTGTTTTTTTTATCTTGACGAAAACCAGAAATATGGTCTGCCTGCATTCATCAACAACTTATGTTTGTGAGACCCCCTACCCCTCAGGACCCCCGCCTAATCAATGCAAAAAATAACGACAAATGGCTTTAGCAGGTTATTCAGAGTTGACGCGGTACTTTGCAGACAACTTACTCTCTTGTTCTCTGACAATAGAATTCAACCACCACCATTTACAGAGACCCCCTCCCCCTCACAGCTCAACTTTGTGGTTTCAACACTGCAGCGAAAGTTTCCTGATATGGGGAAGAGTGACTTGAAGGACTGCATTGATAAGATCAACGAATTTCTCCGTACAACACGCAAATCATCCCAACGACTCTCAATGTAAACCTGTTCAGTATTCATCACAATAAACACATTTTCCCACATGCTCTTTTCCCACTTTGTGTTGTTTTAAAATCTAATCTGAAATATAGAAATAGAAATTATAGAAACAAAATGTTTCACAGCAGTTTTTTCAGGAACAGAATCAGGTTTATTGACATTGTCAGAGAAGGAGTTCACAAACTAAGGATTTTTTTATGGTACAATCGTGCAAGATGACACATATAAGGGTAAATAGAATTATAAAAATATCTAAACACTGTGGCAATATATAAGCAATATCTATGCCGTATATCCAGGTCTGGGACGGATTTTAGCAGGGGCTTACCGGGGCTGCAGCCCGGGGCCCCGGCATTCCCGTAGGATTTATATTTTTGTGAATGGATAGTGTTAGAATTTACCGTATTTTCACGACTATAAGCGCACATAAACGTCTTTTTATCCCTTGAAATGTGCGGTGCTCCCTATTTTATTTTTAAACTCGCTGCTTCTGCATCAAAAGCGATGTTGATGAGTGGAAAAAACCCCCACCTGGTCTCCTTACCAAAGGGAGCACCTTTGAGAAATTCGTTGATCTTATCAATGCAGTCCTTCAAGTCACTCTTCCCCATATCAGGAAACTTTCGCTGCAGTGTTGAAACCACAAAGTTGAGCTGTGAGGGGGAGGGGGTCTCTGTAAATGGTGGTGGTTGAATTCTATTGTCAGAGAACAAAAATATTAATATTATTAATATAATATTTTGAAAATATATTTTCTTACATACCCTTTTGAATAACTTTGGCTTATCTTAATGAGGAATCAACTTTGGATATGATTTTAATTTCAACATCACCAGCCGCAGCACTGTCTCTGTCGCCTTTCTCTGGTTGCGCTACAGTCCGTATCCCTGGCTCCAACTTAATTAATTTTATTTTTCATTAAATAATAGCGATGCAGATAAATAGAAATAACAGTTCTCAGATAAGATCGGAGGTGTATCTATAACTACTATCAATCTATCTATAAATATTTTCATGAAATAAGATTATGCTGTCCCAATGTTAAATTAATTCATTAACTTTATTTTAATCAAAAACAAAATAAAATAGAACAATATCACACCAAGATCCCCAATAAACCTGCTTTTCAGTTGACTGCAGGCCCACAAACGTACAGACACGGTGTCTCTGACTAAAGGAGCTGGTCAGCTCCTCTTTTTATACAGGCTCATGCGTGAATGTCCAACGAATAACTCCAATTGTTGTTTCAAAAATAGAAAACCTGGTTTAATTACTTTACATTCTAACTTTCATTACTTTATAAAAAAGCAATAATAATTATAATAAAAAAAAAAAAAACATTTGAGGCAACTCGGCCATAGCTGGGATTGAACCCACAGTCTATTGAACCACAGACCACTCAGCTTAACCTCTGCGCTATAAGTTCGCAACACGTGACAGCACTCCCAGTCTGCTACTTGACCAGACTGGGAGGGGTGTCACGTATTGCACTGCAAGAAAGTAACACACAAAAACAAAGCTTTCAACGGCACCTATATTTTACAAAACTAAAGAAAATATATTTTCTTACATACCCTTTTGAATAACTTTGGCTTATCTTAATGAGGAATCAACTTTGGATATGATTTTAATTTCAACATCACCAGCCGCAGCACTGTCTCTGTCGCCTTTCTCTGGTTGCGCTACAGTCCGTATCCCCGGCTCCAACTTAATTAATTTTATTTTTCATTAAATAATAGCGATGCAGATAAATAGAAATAACAGTTCTCAGATAAGATCGGAGGTGTATCTATAACTACGCAACCATTTTCATAAAATAAGATTATGCAGTCACTTGACTGCATAATCTTATGTTAAATTAATTAATTAACTTTATTTTAATCAAAAACAAAATAAAATAGCACAGTATCACACCAAGATCCCCAATAAACCTGCTTTTCAGTTGACTGCAGGACCACAAACGTCACCCTCAGCACGGCAGAGGTCCCAAGCGCCACCTGGTGGTTGTCCGGGTACATTGCAGTTCTTTTTGAAATAAAAAAACTGGCCTCAGGAAATACAACGTGATTCACGTGGGAATCACACAGGAATCACGCAGGAAACCGTCCATTTCCAACCAGTCCCCACTGTATATATGTATATATATATATATATATATATATATACGATATATATGTATGACACCACATTATATGTTGGTTCCTCTGTCAGTTAGTGTTGCTAGTACTCATGGCCTGGTTTTGCAAATGTGTTTTTCAGGACTCCGGTATTCACGGCTGAAAAGATTTAACAATCCCCTGCTTATTAGTGTTTCCAGTTTGACTTATAATTATAGGGATGATTACATTTCACATGACTACCCTAATTAGGGCAGTCAGCTCGCCTTGGCTCATCTGCTTTAGTTACCAGGGTGTGCTGTACTCTGGGCCAATGCACTGAGATCCCTGAGGGAAAAACGAATGATTAAGAAAAGAGACACTGGACAGATGTTTTGGCCTTATTCTTACTGATTTGGTTGCTCCTGATGTATGTTTGCATCGGAATAGAAAGGATATGATGCAATGCCAGGCAGTAAAATAATTAAGCTGGAAGATTATGCTTTGCTTCCTTTCATTCCGGGCTGGGTCTAAGTACAATTACTTTAGCTCTATTTTTTGTTCGTGAAGTGAGGTGTGTCCCAGACTTCAGATAACATGCTTTGACTTTCTTACCTCTCAAGAGCAGACATGTCAAGGAATGTGTCTGGGATATTTTAGTGGCCACTTCATTTTTATTAAACTAGAGGTAGTCTTTTTTTCCTTATCTGCTTCTCCTCACATTCTCAAACTTAAGCTTGTATATCTAGAAATAAGCTTTCTGTTCACACAAAGGAGCATAATGTAGATTGTTTCTTTGCATGTATGGCTGTGTGTGTGTGTGTGTTGCTTCTCTTTGCTAGCAGTCAGAACCTGTCTGATCCACTCAGGATGACTGAATACAAACAGCAGAAAATATATTTCTTTGAATGCTTATGCAGAACAAGTCTCCTGCATTTTGGGATCAATGCCTATTTTTATTATATTTATTGCGCATTAGTAAACAAGCCTACATTATCATTTGGGTGAATCCTGCAATCCGATTTGTGATGCGATCATTTAGAAACCTAGAATCCTACCTCAAACTTTTTTTTTTGTTTTCAGTGAAACACCACATCACGCCTGGAAATGCTTGTCTCAGTTTCTTATAATTTTTTTAGCACATTTTCTGGTAAGATTCAGATCGGTGCGAGAATATACTACCCCAGACCCAGAAACTGGTGCATCACTAAGATTTTATTTCATTCATAGATTAACCCCTGATTATCACTATTGAAGTAATCTGGGTAAAGTTAGGTCTGGAGGAGGAGGAGAAGGATTTTTATCAGTAAAGATAACAATGAAAAAAAATCATAAACTGTGCTGAGTGATGTATTATTAGAGGTAGTTTGTAATATAAGAACTGGATTTCTAATTTTTTGTTTTGAGTTGATGTTTCCTGTATCAACTTCTATAATTTTGAAAATCTGTTTCTTCCAGTCTGCCAAGGTTTTACCAATCATTTAAATCTTCTGGGCTCTAAAGAGGACCACTACCAGAACATGGTGAAGACCTACAGCAATTGTACTGTTGTCCTGGAGAACTTGGAGATCACTTATGTAGAAGAGCACCGTGACCTTTCCTTCCTCCAGGTAAAAACTAAATATTTACATACCCTGTAGAAAAACACACATAACCTGCTGATACTGAATCGTTTTTGGTCCGGTAGGATTAAAAAAATAATTTATTTTAATGTTATTGGTTATAAGGTCTGGGTTATTTTTTTTAGATTTTATATCAAATTCAGTAATATTACTTAGTATTACTTTTTAATACTGTATGCTTTAGGCTAAACATTTATGATTCCTTCTACAAGCTTCTAACCTAAGTTTGTTATAATTTAAAACATTTAACTAATCGCAAAATAGGAAATCATCTACTTTATAGTCAGACACTGAAAAAAAATTGTTATTTGTATTTATTTTAAGTATGTGTAAAAATCTTGTTCTGACCAGAAATAATAATATATAATGAGTTTTGGTCTCTTATATAAAAGTAATAAGTTCAAAGTCTGTAGCCTTAACAGAACATTAACATTTGTATGCTTACTCATTCACTAAGACGAATTAAGCCCTGAGAGCTGCAATAAGAAGAGCTAACAAACTGGTACTCAATAGAAGGATTTTCTTTTTTTTTTATTTGCTATGTTGAGAGTAATTACTGCCTTAGAGGTATAGAGCTCAATCTTTTATTTCCAGATGCATCATCTAAAGAAGTGGTCCTCCTAATTATCAATCATCCTAGTGATATGTTTACATAAGGCTGTCTGGTTATAGCTATTTTTTTCTGCGCATTTGCACTTTCAGGCATATATCTGTGGTGAGCTACGGTTCCAGATAGTCAGACAAGCTCACCTTTTTCACCGTGGTTCTTTGAAAATGGCCAAGGGTCGTAAGAGAAAAAATGTTTACAAAGTGTATAAGAAGAAAAGAAAGGGATCAGAAGAGGCAGATATAGAGCTCTCCTTACAAAGCATAATGGGATTTGCTATCACAGCTGCCCGCTGTCGCCATAGGCTGTCAATGCGCGACAGAGGTACCTGATAACAAAGATGGCGCAGGCACTGCATGGTGGAGGAGTTACGTGACCAACGGGGACCAAACGGCAGTGAGCGTCTGTCGGAACGGTCAGTTGACTGAGTTCTTGATAAAGTCCACTATTTAGTAACCGCTCTATATAGTGCTGGAGGGATTTAGGGATTAGGGCGGACGTTCGGGCACAGTAAGCTGGTATGAGCTATGAGAACAGCAACTTTTAAACAGAATGTGCACGAAGAGAAATGGGCGTTTAATAGGCATTCCCTCTTGGGAGCTGGTACAGGGTTGTGCAAGTGGAGAGGGCGGGTGTTTTAAAAAACTTACGAAAATCATCCACAATGCCTTTAAGTTCTGCCCAATGGATATTGCCTTTGACAGAAATGTCATTTTAACACTGAAGTTTGTGTGATTTCTGCCTCTGTGATGAACAGAGTTGTTACTCTAATCGGCCCTCCTGTCCAAATTATCTGTATCAACAGTATATAAGCAAGCGTTGCAGTGATTATGCAAGTTTCAATTTTTTCAACTGTTAAAACTCTTAACAGTTTGGTTAATTCTGATGATTCTCCACTTATAGCTAATGAAAACAGGACCTTTATTAACAATGTTGCATCAGGCCAATAAGAAAAAACATATACTCTAATAGTGAAATGTGGGCCTTGTTGGAACAAACCCTGCTTCATTTGAAAAGAATGTTTTAATTAAAAGTAATGTTTTATGCTTTTTGAATGTTAAAAGTATAATAGAGGACTTTTGTGAATTCTTGAAAAGACCCTCCCTCTCCACCTAAAAAAAAAAGTACATGCACAACGCGTGCGAGAGCATGAACAAGCCCATTTCTCCTTGTGAGCGCTCTGTTTAAAATTTGCTGTTTGTATCACTCGTACAAGCTTACTTTCCTAAAGAAGATTTGCAATTTTTCCACTATGTCGGCTCACCACTGGTAAGTGAAAATGGAGGCAAGCACACAGGGAGGCCTTACGTAAACATATCACCAGAATGATTGACAATTAGGAGGACCAATTATTTTGATGATCCACCCGGAAAAAGAACATCCTCCACTATACCCTTAACATATGCACTAGAAGTTGTCTTTTTGGTGTTTGAGTTTTTTTAAACATTGTCTATTGTTTTGCTGAACACTCTGAAGAGCCGGTGTTAATCGAAACCTGTGGAGAACAAGTACTTATAATGATTCATTGTGTTTGTAAAGCTTTGGCTAAAACTTTACTCAAAGATCAGATGTAACTTAGACTTTGAGCACTGGGCAGATGTATTACAGGACCACCCACACTCACAGGCTAAAGAATTGGCCAAACGACCAAAAAAAAAAACCTGGAGTCAGCAGATACAATGTGGTACTCTAAGGAAGAAAATTGGAATGTTTTACATGCAGAATGTCCACTTTTCTTTGTGCAGATCTCAAAACCTAGTGTGGGAAAATCTGAGTTAAACTTAAAAGAAATCATGTTTTTATTTTATTTTTAAAGAAAAAAAACATATTTTTAATTTGTGATGTTGTAGACATTTTCACATAACAGTTCTGACATTGCTGTTTCTTTTAAAGGAGCAATAAGCACATTTTCAATACTAGGTGCGCTGTTGAGCACTGTCTGTAGGCCGAAACAACACTACATTTTAATACAACATTCTATCAAGCTCTGAGTAGCAGCTGTTCATACATGCATGTGCATTTATTCGCACGTGTCGCAGCTATGTAAACAAGAGAATGAAGAACAATGCAGAGATGGTGTGTGATGTCTTAGTATAGATCATCTGAAAAGTTACCTTTAGTTCTTCACAAAACTATATTTTAAGTTCTTTTTATATAGAATTCACATATTGCTCCTTTAAGTAATGCATGGAAGTTATATATAGAGTTATGAGGAACATTATGTTGACTGAGGTTTTCTTTTAAAATGATGAACAAAAGAAAGGCTCTGACTCCTTCAAAAAAATCATTAAACCTTGACCTCACGTTGGACAAATTTCCTGAGCTCATTTCTTTGTTCAGGGAGAATATAAAAGGATGTGCATTTATTAGAGCCTTGAAATAACAGAAGGTTTTTTCCTGCCCAAGAGCTTTTCCTCAAAAGCTAAAATTAACTCCTTTATTGTGCTGTGAACATTTCTTTATTCCCCTAAAGAGGTATTCTGTTTTTGCTTTTTTAGCACACTTGGATGAGCTCATCAAAGATGGTCTGATAAAATCCACTCCACATGTCATTTGTTCACTTTCTTTGTTAAATTAAAACCAATAACTCAAATATGAAAAACAAATGTTTGTATTTTTTGGAAATTAATTTCATAAAATAATATGGTAAAAGAGAGAGCAGTTAAATGTTTGACTTCTAATTCCCCTAATGAAATAAACATAAAGATAATGGATAATATGACGTAAAAGTGGCAAAAAGATACCACAACATAGCTAGCTTAACAGTAAAGGATTTTCAATGGCAGCTTATAAACTCAATGCATATCATATATCAATTAAGACATCCTAGCAGTAACCATGCAAACTGCTAATAAATGGGTCACCTTATAAATGTAACGTTGTCATATTAGCTTTCTTAAACTGTTTATAAACATCGCTGAAATTATATTATTATACTTTGTAATGTAAACATAAGAATGTATAAAATGCCTTATTGATTTATGCAGTATTTATCATTTGGAACACTAAATTGCAAGAATTAAGAGGCTCTGCAGGTTCAGGTACCCTATACCAAAACAGTTAGAGCTTCTAGAAGCCTGCACTACCGAGACTTAAAAAACATTTGGGCCATTGCATACTCTTCTCCCTATTAGATCATTTCTTTATGCGAAATAACTGGAGTGGATGTGGGAATGAACATAATTCACATCATAATCCAGATCTGTCAGGTGTCATAACAGAGGACCCAGTATTCAAGGCAAGACAGACAGTGGGATAATTCAAATGCGTTTATTAAAACACATTGTGCTGCGGGTCTGCAGTAGCTAAGGCGTCTATCACAGGAAACTCTGGTTTATCAGCTCAGCCCTCGTCCCGAGAACGAGATAGGATCCAGTCGGTGGGCAGCCAAAAAGATGCGGCGGGCACCGTCCAGAGTGTCCAAGACGTTGCAGCCCCTGACAACAACCAGGAGTCCAAAGCCACATCAGGCAAACAGATAAGAACAGGAATGCTCAAAGGTCCAGGAGTCCGAAGACAGTTCAGGCAGACCATTCAGAAGGGAACAGACAGGCTCAGTGGCTGAGAGGCAGAACAGGTCAGGATCAGGTAATTAGAAACACTAAGGGAAGCTTAAAACCACTCTCACCACTGGCTAAAGAAAACAACAATAATCTGGCCCTGATGACTGGATGCAAGCAGCTTAAACATAGGCAGGAGCAGGTGGATCGGATGAGCAATCATTAGAAACTAGACAAAGTTGGACAGGTGAATGAATGAATAATTAAGCCAGTTATCAGTGCCAAGATCATGTCAAGATCCTTATATTGATTTGTGATTTTTTTAATTAATAGAATGATAGATTTTGATTTTTTTTATTAATGGAAGAGTAATCTAGACCTAGCAGCTGAACAGTTGCATTTGTCTTATTGAATACAGCCAGCTTGCACATGTAATCCAGCATGCTAATGTGTTTGTAATATTGCTCCTAAACGTACAATGGTATAGGAGCCCAAAACAAACGTTAAAAAAAGTGAATTAATGCGCTCTCTTTTTAAGGCCTGTTACCAAAAAATCAATTAATTTTATAATACATTTCAAGGAGCTCAATTTACATTTTCCTATGATTTGTTTTTCTTCGTGTCATGTGTTTTTGTAATGAAGAGTCTGAATCAACTAAAGGTTTCTCTCCTGTGAATTGGTCTCCACTCACCACTCCCCTCATCACTTCCCGAGCTGCAGAAAGCCTGAGAAATGCTAGTTGTGCAGTGCAATGGTGGAGGACCTTTGGAGTCAAACCAAATGACAATATTATCATTTATTGCAATAAATTCTGGGGCAATTTATCGCTCAGCAAAATGTGTTAGCTTAGTTCTCTGCTTCTTATATTACGATTTATGATCTGTAAAGGGAAATGTGACAAACAAATCTGTAAGATGGGAAATAGGATTTTCTGCTTACCTTATGTCTACCTATAAATGGAAAAAATTCGTCTGAATAGGTAAATGGACTGAAATAACAGACATTTTATGAGGTTAACAACTAGCTCTTGTTTTTCTCCCCCTTCTCTGTAGTCCATTGAAGAAGTCAGTGGCTACGTTCTGATTGCCCTCAACACAGCTCCCAAGATTCCTCTGCAGAATCTGCGGATCATCCGAGGTCACGCCCTCTATGAGGGAAAGTTTGCGCTTTCTGTGCTCGCCAATTTTGAGACAAAAACAGGTCAAGGTACCACCGAGCTTCTCCTGACCAGCCTAACAGGTAGAGGGAGCCCTGAAATGATCTTGTCTTCTATAGGCCTATGCATGAAATGAAACAGTGAAATGGCTACATTAGAATTGCAATTCATGTTTGTTCATTAGAAATTCTCAAAGGAGGTGTGAAGTTTAGCGGCAACGGCAAGCTTTGTAATGTGGAAACCATACAGTGGTTTGATATCGTCAATACTGAAGATGAGCACAAGCCCAGCCTGGAACTCCCAGTGGCTGGAAACAACCCCAATTGTAAGTGCTCTCAGTTTCAACACTGGAAAAATTAGCAAAACTCTATATTTCTCTGGTAATTTGTGCATATTAAAAGAGGTAAGTGACCTATGTTTCTTCTTTACAGGTAAGAAATGCCACTCAAAGTGTTTCAATGGTTCATGTTGGGCTTCTGGTAAAGACAACTGTCAGACCTGTAAGTTCTTGTTGATGTTTTAATCCCTTACCACAAAATTATCTACTATACACTTAATTGTATTTAAAGTATTTTCCATCCATCATTATGTTAGTATTTTGAATATTTCAAGCATTAATGGATTGGCTGTTTTTTGTGTCATTTCATAAATATGTACATTTAAGAAATAATCTTTGGTAAATGATAAACCCCCTGTATTTTTGTTGTCCTCTCCAGTAACCAAGCTGAACTGTGCACAGCAGTGCTCCAAGAGGTGCAAAGGACCATCACCAAGTGACTGTTGCAATGAGCATTGTGCAGCCGGATGCACGGGGCCCAGACCCACAGACTGTCTGGTGAGACAAAGATCTTATGCGGAGGACAACTAATGAATACACTGCATATTTAATCGTGTTCTATTAAATCTGGACGAGGACTCTGTTTTACACTCAGCCCTCACTAGGCAACCTCTGTTTTATGGCTAGAAATTATGTTTTTGTTTTAATACCAGAAAGACACATAACTGCTGATTAAATCTTTTATTTGGCAGGGCCTTGAGTACCAGCGTTTGCTCTCGCTCTCTAAGCAACTTTGAGAATTTAGCCAAGGCTGGGATAGAGGAATGCAGTGTTATCATTAGGAAGGGGCTGTGTTTTGGTCGTGGCGCACTAGATGACTGATGTTTGTGCTGCAGGCCTGTCGGGCCTTCCAGGATGATGGGGTGTGTAAGGACTCCTGCCCAGGGCTCCAGCGCTATGATCCAAACCTGCACCAGCTGGTCCCCAACCCACATGGAAAGTACAACTTTGGGGCCACTTGTGTCAAAAGTTGTCCACGTAAGTATACAGTCAACATTTGTTCTCTTAATATATTTATATATATATATAAATATATCTACATATCTATATTCTATACAGTATATTGCTCATTGCTGACTTCTCAAACAGTATGCTTTAAACACTACCTATCCTGTTGGACTTTTTAAATCAAAAGTATTGATTGTGCAAGATACTATAGCATTTGGCCACAATGTAGAGTTATTTTTTTTTTATTTTGGGTTGTCTTTAGTTAGTCATAGTCTTAAGATGCTTAACCTTAAAAAGAGTATGACTGTGCAGACAGGGAAAGACACTTTGAAGAGGATAGTTGATTGCAGTGGTGTCAAAAGTACACACATTTGTTATTTAAGTAGAAGTATAGATACTGCAGTTTAAGTATCAACTTGACCTCTTTACTCAAGTAAAAGTTAAAAAGTATGTGTTCCAGAAACTACTTAAAGTATAAAAGTAAAAAGTAACCTTTAAAAAAACAGCCAGATGCCGCTATTGAATATATATTTAATTGAAAGCTCAGTTTTGAGATAAGGCCAAGGATGAGGGAGGTCTTGTTGGTCTCCATCTCCTGATACGCTCTCACCTGTGTCCAACCTTTCAGACATTTCAACATCCTTTTCTGAATCCAACATTGTAGCATGGCATAGACAATTCACGTTTGCAGTTTAAAGAACACCTCTTTGCTTCTGATGATTTCCTTTAGCTAACCAATGAGTTTTTGCGTTATATGACTCATCCAATTACGCTAGTTTTCACTAGATGTGGATGGCGCAAATGATCTGCATTGGAAGGCGCACATGACACAAAATAAATATTTATTAATATTAAACTGAAGCCAAGAGTAAGAAGTAATGTTTGTTTTAAAAATGTAAGGAATAGAAAGTACAGATACTTGTGTGAAAATGTAATGAGTAGATGTCTGAAGTGGGAAGAAAAATAAGTAATGGAGTAAAGTATAGATACCTAAAATGTGTACTTAGTACAGTAACAAAGTATTTGTACTTTGATACTTGACACCTCTGGTTGGTAGTATGCACAACTCACACAATGCAAGATCAGAAATGTGTTGTGTTTGTGCTATACTAAACATTTGCTCAGATTGTCCTTCGGGGTTTTTAGACATTGAATTGAGAGTTTGTTCAGGTTAAATAATAAACTTTTAAACAGGGGAAGAGAATGATTGAGTTTCTGGGCTTGTTAATGTGACATCCCATGGTTTAGAAGCCTGGCTGTATACATTACTAAGCAGCTAGATGCATCTACAGCCACACTAATGTATAACTGACACAAGCTGCTCCTCAAAATTACTTAAAGATTTTTATGTTTTCTGTCTGTTCATTATAATACTCAGACTATGCCTGATGAACGTGATACATATCTGACCTAAACACCTACTACTTTCCTCATATTTACAGATAACTATGTTGTGTCTGATCATGGTGCTTGTGTGCGGACATGCAGCGGTAACACATATGAAAAGGATGAGGGAGGAGTACGAAAGTGTGTCAAGTGTGACGGACTGTGCCCAAAAGGTCAGCAGCTCTTATTGCCTACAATGAAGACATTTTTGAATATATAGTATATAGACTGTATTTTTAGCACATATACTAATAAAAGAATGGAATCCTACAAGCTTTTAATTTTTTTAATGGCTTCACGTTAATATTTTTGTGTAATGATACACACTTTTTTTAGATCTCCTATTTTGATGTTTTCCAGGAACGAATTGGAAAGTAAATAGATGTCATTTAGAGTAAGAGCATTTAGTTTTTATGGTCTTAAATCATATACGGGGCCAAAAAGAACATTATAAAGTGACAAAATTTTATTTTAAGCTCAAATAAATTTAATTATTTATCAATGCTCTAGTTTTGTTACATAATACATCTTTGCCAATTGACATCATCTCAGCCATTAACACCTACAATTCAAGTTGTTGTTATAAGAAATACTGTTACAGTATGTTTTTTCAGATGTGCAGTATTTTTTTTTTCTGTGATATATCAGTGATTGTAAAACTTGTTTTTTTCTTCATTGTTTAAAGTGTGTAACGGACTTGGAGCAGGAGAACTGACTCACACCCTGTCTATCAATGCCACCAACATTGGCTTCTTTAAAAACTGCACTAAGATCAATGGTGACATCACTATCATTAAAACATCGATCCATGGGTACGTTCTGACTGTTTTTTCTGTCTTTTGCTCTCAGAATCAATTCTGTTGATTATTTGAATGTGTTTTTTTCTGTTTTTTTGTTTTTGTTTTAAGGGATCCTTTTACCAAAACACCAAAGATGGAACCGGCTCAGCTGGACGTGTTCAAAACGGTTAAGGAAATTACAGGTGAGATTTCATGAAGTTTGATGAATGCATGACAAACTTAATGTGCCTTCACAATAAACGATCCCCTGTTGCTTCAGGACACCTGTGGATTCAAATATGGCCAGATACCATGAAATCACTCAGTCCTTTTGAAAATCTGGAAATAATTCGAGGGAGAACAAAACGGTAGGTTTGTTGTATAAAATAAAAAAAAAACATTAATTTTCCCACTGCTTCAGCAAAATAGTGAAATTACATTTGTGTCATGTTCATTTAGAAACTTTGTCATCAAGTTATTACTATAGCTTACCAACTTCCTTCTGCTAAAATTGTCTAATTTTTTTTTTTATCTTAGATGCTTCTAAGATAAATTTATAACAAGCTATATAACTATTAGTTGGGGACTTCTTAAAATGTAAAAAGAATATGTATTTATATGGTTTTAATTGTGCCCTTGTTCTTTGGATAGCGGTGGCCACACTTTGGTTGTGACCCAGATCAATGCCGACTACCTCGGCTTCCGGTCACTAAAGGAGATCAGCGACGGGGACGTGGCCATTATCAAGAATGAGAAGCTCTGCTATACGAAGGAGAGTCACTGGAAGAGGCTCTTCAGATCAAAGAGTCAAACTGCAACAGTCAACGACAACGCAAATGCTACCACTTGTGGTGAGATCTTACCTGCTTGTCAACGTTTATTTTAAAACTTTCTTGCAAATTTCGAAACTGGTGCAATTATCAAGAACTTTGCTTAAAATTCCACATCTGGTTTTAGCCCTAAGCAAAAAGACCTGTGACAGGAAGTGCACAGCGGACGGCTGCTGGGGCCCAGGCCCGGACATGTGTTTCGCCTGTCATAACTACAGCCGTGCTGGGAGTTGCGTTGACTTCTGCAACATCCTGGAGGGGTAAGGGAAGAATCTAGGCACGAATCCCTTTTAAGTGTTGAAATCTGCTGTCCTTTATTTCAGATAAACAAACAGACTGAAGATTCAGTCGCTTTTTCATAATCTATTTTCATACCATGAGTATTTCCAGACTGTGTCATTAGATAAATTAAAGGATTATTGAAAGAAAGCTAAAGATCCAGGGTATTTTGAAAGTTAAATCTCAGGAAGATGTAAGGCAAACATTGCTGAAAAATGGCACATAGCACTCACATCTGTTTATCTTGGGGATATTTGTCAAACATTAAATCTTGACATGCTTACAGTTTAACTTGGCCCTCCAAAAACCAAATTGAATAAAGCTGTTTGAAATTAAGCTGCCCTGCAGTAACAGTCTATTAACATTGTTATTGTTGTATTTTTTGTTTTTTTGTAGAGAGCCACGGGAGGCGATCGTGAATAAAACCTGCATGGAGTGTGACCCTGAGTGTCTACGCATGAACGGCACTGCAACCTGCCGGGCGCCTGTATGTGTGTCATCTGTACTTACAGAGAATACAATCCACATCTTTCATAGCACATCTGTGCACATAACTGATGAACACCTTATCATTAATGCTGCATAAAATCCCTTTCAGAAATGTCAGCGATTTCTCAATCAGCAGCAGCTTTAGCAGATAATACAGCAGGGCAGCCACAAGACATGTTGTGTTTTGAAGGAGGGGTGTGACTGTGGGATGAAGTTAGCTAACTGTTTGGGTTTTTTTATGTACGTAATCCGGTCTTTTGATTAAAAGGAGTTAAGGCCTTCACTTTTTTAAATATTACTTGGAAAAAGCAGGGCATCATTATCAACAACAGAATTGCTGACCGAGTCAAAATGCATGCTTATGGTGTTAAAGTGTTTAGCTTCTGCACTTAAAAACAGTGCCTTGCAAAATTAACCAACCCACTGGAATTTGTCCATGTTTTATCAAATTACAGCCACAAACCCTCTATGTATTTGAGGGGCTTCAATTTCACAGAACAATGTTAAAGGGGAATTGCAAATTTTTAAATGTCAAATTTTTTTGTCTTTCCCATTAATGCCGTAAAATGAGCTTTCCACCATTTACCAGTTTCCTCTTTAGGGCTATTCTATCTTCCAGATGGACTTGTAGCTAAAACGTTTCATCATGCTCCAGCATGCATGTCTGTGGTTTACTTGCCATCATTTTATTTAGGGATTGTTTTGTGTTTTTGTAAATCCATTTTTTCATGAACTCAGGTAAGGCTTCCGTGCTGCCAACACAAATCTTTTATCAAACTGAAATTGTATTCACAGGCTTTAGAGGGAAAGTGGGTCAATGCAAATCCGTGCTACACTTTTCAGATTTTAAGTTATTAAAAGATGTTTTATTTTTCTTCAAGGTGTATGGATTTTGCAAGGCACTGTATAAAACATATCTATAGTTTTGTATGGAAGATAGAAGATGCATCTGTAATGATGTGACATCATGTGTAATATTTTGGCCACTTTCTTCAGAGCTGTATTCATCCAAACTATTTTGTCTCTCCCAGGGTCCTGGAAACTGCACAAAGTGCGCCAACTTTCAGGATGGACTGTTTTGCGTGTCACGTTGTCCCCAAGGCATCCCTGGAGAAGATGACACCCTGGTGTGGAAATATGCAGACAAGGAAAGAGTCTGCCAACTGTGCCACAAGAACTGCACTAAGGGGTAAACTTGGCTGGAAGCAGAGAACTGAGCAGAACATTGAGTGTCTGACTTGCAGATATTTGTTTGTCACAGTGAGTGGAGTCCTAAAGGGCTCAGCCACTTTTACAGAAGTTAGGAGATTTTATTGGAGACTTAACATGAGGAATAGACAAATAATTTGGTCTGTTTTTCCATTTCTTTTCTTGCCATCCTCAATCGATGTCTCCATTGGTTTCCCCTCTTTTTCATTTTGTTTATTTATTCTTTATTCTCTGGCTGCAGTGTTTTATTTTAGCTGTCTGTGCTCCTTTGTGGAGCAAAACATTGCCGATGCCAACCCTGAAATCAGGTCAAATGTTACCAGTGATATATAATCACCACTGAGCCTTGGTGGTAAACGGATGAGTGAGAAGGAACATGGTTCTTACATACCTTCAAACCACCGAGAGCAGTTATGTTTCAGGGGTCTTTTGTTTGTCTTGTGGGGAAAGAAGAAACTGATACCTTTTTCTAAAACATGTCAGTAGTGTGGAAATAAATAGTTCCCTGCTTTCCCCAGTTATTTATGAATTCATTTAGATTATTTAGTCTGAGTTGAATATTGTTGCTGGCAGAAGTAAAGAGAAAAACAAAGTGTAGCAATAGGGATCTTGTTTTTTATGGCTAATAACTGCAAAGCCTTGATTAGCTTCCAAGTTAACCTTGTTTTATTGGTGTGTTTTCAGGTGTACCGGACCAGGCCCTGATGGTTGCCGAGGTGAAAGGTGAGCTTAGAATTAAGTGAATGGGCTTGAGTTACTAACTGTTCTGAAGAAGTATGGCATAAAAAAAATAAACACATTAAAGAAAGAACCCTGAGGGGGAAAGGTATTTGAGACCATTTAGAAAGAATTTGTTTCAGGTGTTTTTCGTCAGCAGAATTCATTTTTTTCACAGTTTGTGTAAGGGAGGAAAGTAGTAATTTGATTTGCCATCGTAAATGTTTTTCTTTTTCCATCTACTTGCTTGATTTACTTTTTATTCCCCTGCTTTTATCTGACCTTTTTTTGATTTTTGTCCTTCCTTCCTTCCTTCCTTCCTTCCTTCCTTCCTTCCTTCCTTCCTTCCTTCCTTCCTTCCTTCCTTCCTTCCTTCCTTCCTTCCTTCCTTCCTTCCTTCCTTCCTTCCTTCCTTCCTTCCTACCTACAATTTTCCTGCTTTAAAACAATTGTTTCTATGGAAATATCTACAGTATCTAAATAAAATACTTTTGTTTAGATGAACCTAACAAATAGAGAACTCTGGGGAATTGGATTTGGGACAGTGTAGTCCTTTGACATGAAAGTTGTTTAGGAACCCTGATAGAATGACAAATATTTGTTTTCCACCAAGTTTTATTTATCAGAGTTTAAATTATATAAAAAAAAATTGATTTGCATTATTACATAAACAAAGCAGATCTATGAAGACCACCAAAAAAGAAGTAGTTGATCCTGGAAAATGTTACTAATTTATCGCTGGAGTCTGTTTGGACTCCAGCAATCCACAGTCAGACAGATTGTGTACAAATGTGGGGAAACTCAAGACCATTGTTACTCTGACCAGAGCTGGGTGACCAACAACTATTGGTCATGTCATGAAAAAACCCAGTATAACTTCTAAGAAACTGAGCAGCCCTTTCCCACATCGGCTACATTTTAAGGGCGTCATCATGAGAATGCTAAACAACAGTGATGTTCATGGAAAAAGCTGCTGCTTGCCAGAAACAAGCCTTCCTACCTGTATACAGATTTTCACAGTAACTGTGCACAGACTGTTTGATTTCAGAGCTAGCTGTTGAGGTGCAGCAGAGAAGTATGCGATCTGTTTTGTTTATGATCGACCAAAAATTATGTTTTGCTGTGATTTTTAGTCAATGCTATGATTCCAAAGTAAAAGACAAATTGTAAAGGAAAAAAAGGACCATGCAGTTGTGTCTGTAAAGGCAAAAGCAATCAATTCAAAGATGTTCTGTACAAAGGAAAGAGCTTAAATAACATATAAGCAGAAAGAATAAAAACTAGGCATTAAAATATTTATGTTATATACAACTGGGAACAATTATGTTCCCTTTAATTAAAATTGGGCAAAAGACTTAGTTTATTTCTTTTCTTATAGCACATTAGTCAGATACTGAACACACAAAAAAGTCAGACTTCTCTTTACAGCCTTTAATTGCTTTCATTTCTCTAGTAGATGTAGGTGTCAGGATTGAGATCTCAGTTGAAGACAGGGGACTATCTATGTGTTTTCAGCTTATTGTTTAGGATCATTAAACTTTCAAAAAGGCTCAGTGATGAGGCACTTTCTGTTCTCTGAGGGTAGCTTAATCTAGATTTTATTTAAAATATGTATCACAAAGATTGCATAGCGCTTTTGCCTCCCAGGGGTGTTTGGAAAAGAAACTGACCCAAAATATTACTCTTGCTCCAACATGCCTAACAGTGGGCAGGAGATGTTTCTCAAACGATTGGTCAGCATGTAGATAATATCTCATGGTGACCCCAAAATCCTTTCTTCACTTTGTAAGATGGCAAGATAAAAATGTTTCTTTATCCAAGCAGTAGGTAAACGAACATGACATTTGTGTTACATTCTATTTAAATCCCAGAAATTACTGAGACTGAAGAATTAAATGTGAAAAAAAGCTAAAACTTAAAAATGTATTAATAATTTATTTATTAATTTCAATTAATTAATAATGCTGTTCTATTTGTCTGCCTTTTTATATGTCTTCATGCAGTATGTGAGGAGTCTTAATATTTTTATTCCACGTCTGTAAGGTCTTCAGGCCTGTCCATGATTGCAGCCGGGGTTGTTGGTGGGATGCTGGCCGTTTTGATCGCAGGCCTCTCTGTCTTTGTGCTGCTACGTCGGCGCCACATCAAAAGGAAAAGGACGATGCGCAGACTGCTCCAAGAGAGACAGGTGGGGAGAGACAGTTAAGGCTCAAGACACCCACTTAAATGTTCTATTCAGCTACATTCTTATGGGTTTTCCTTCCTCTGTGCAGCTGGTTGAACCTCTTACTCCGAGTGGGCAAGCACCAAACCAAGCCCTGCTGCGGATACTGAAGGAACCAGAGTTTAGGAAAATTAAGGTTCTGGGATCAGGAGCTTTTGGTACAGTTTACAAGGTAATTACAGGTTTGGCTTGTATAATACTTATTGTAAAAATTGTAGAAATTCCAGCGCCGAGCAGTTTTGAAACTAGCTGTGTTGTGCCAAGTTTTCACAGAGCTACATGTGTTTTAAATTTTTCAATTACAGCACATTTTTGACTTGCTACCTCATGCATGACTGGCTTCTTTGTTGCTGTCAAAGCTGTTTCTATAATCATATTTGGAGATTTGCATTTAGGATACAAACATAGGGGCTCTTAAGAAGTGTGTGCATACAAATCATTGCAATAATTTGGTATATTATGTACTAATTTATGTTTATGTGATATCTTGAGATTTTAAGTATAGAAAGTCACAAAGAAAACTGTGTCCTTCCAGGGTCTTTGGGTCCCAGAAGGGGAGGATGTGAAGATCCCAGTGGCTATCAAGGTTCTGAGAGAGGCCACATCACCAAAAGCCAACCAGGAGATCTTGGATGTATGTTCTCTATGTTTTATTTGTACAATTCAGCTAATGATTCTGCAAAATAAGGAGACATACTTTAAAAATGGTGTAGCCAGAGACTGACACCGCCCATGAGCATCACTCCCTGGGCTCTGGGCACCCAAATGGGTACACTACAACTACCCAGGTGTTGTTCAGGTGGTTTAAAATGAAAATGAAACAGTTAATCTAAATTTCGTTGACATAAAGATCAGCTGTGGATTTAATGTGTTGCACAATGTACCGTAAATCCTCTAATATAGGCCCGGGCCTTTATTTCACTCAAGTGCATCGCGGTCCAGGCCTTTATTGGATAGAGGCCAGAATTAGAGACAGGCCTCTATTGCTATTTGAGCAAAACAGACTACCAGTGGAATGAATAAAAATGAGATTCTGTGTCTATTTGAACCTATAAAACACTAGGTTCATTTATTGAAAAAGTACAGTTACCATGTCTCGCTTGGTTTGAAGTAAAAAAGAAAAAAAAAAATCCTCCAATTCTGTTTAATCCTCCTCCTCAGTTTCCTCCTCCTCTTCATCTCTCCCTTTAATCTCCTCATCACTCGCGCTCCTCCTCATGTTCTGCTGCGTGTCTGTTCTCTTCCTCGCGCAGACGGGCAGCAGTCAGGGCCTGTCGTCCAGCAGCGCAAGGCTGTGGGACTTGTATGTTACTACCACAAGTATAATGTTGAGGTATGCCCAGAAAAAACGTTTATAGCCCAGGCCTGTATTAGAGACCGGCCATTATTTACCTCCTCTGACAGCGAGACCGGCCAATGTTAGAGTCCCGGCCGCTAATGGAATACAGGCCAATATTAGAGAAATTACGGTAGTTTTCTTCCGGATGTCAACCTGACTGGAATTCTTCTTGCAGTTTATAGTACATCCAGGCTATTCTTAAACTAACTTGGGTTTGCTTTCTTTGCCATGAAGAATGTGTCACATTGCACATGAAGTCTCTGGTGGAGTTTTGGGAAGTGCGCTTTATTCATTGGAGGACATCATGTGGGCGTTAGTATGTAATTACAAAGCTGAGGTGCTGTTTAAAGAAATGCAGCTCTGAAGCTGCAGCCTCTTCTGAATGCATCTTTGCAAACAGACAAATCAGCGTCTCAAAGCTTGTGTTTTGTGGTCGAGCTGCTGGGTTTGCTGTATTCATAAATGATGTCATGTACGTGGAGTCGCATAAAAGTTTGACTGCGGGGCATTGAAAAACAAAGATTAAGATCTTTGAAGCCTCCCTTTTTATCTTGCTGTCAGAGTTACAAAGCTCCACGGAAAGAGTGTATTTACTGAACGACTGACACGCAGTAATAAGCATGAAGGAAATATTGGGCCTGCAATTATTACAGTGGTGATATGGAACCTACTAAGTAAAGCTTAGGTTTAAGTACTGTTTGCTCACGTCCTCATGCAAGAGGCCAGAGCTAATTTTCTTTTCTTTTTTTTTTTTTGTTTGGCCCTGTGTAATTTTTTAAGCAGCTTTTCTGGTATGATGACTGAAAGTTTCCACTCTCAGGCAATAAAAACGAGCTGGCTGTGTATGGCTGCTGCTAAGAGACTTATCCTGCAACACTCTGTATCCCGCAGATGTTTCTCAAGCTATCAGTTGCCTAGATAAACATGCACATTTCTACCAAGGGTTCTGCAAAATGGGCTGCAAGACACAAGTTTTTTTTTTTTTCTTTTTTCAGTTTTGTTTCGATTAAAAAATCCGATGAAACATTCTATATGCTTATGTGCATTTCAGGAAGCTTACGTGATGGCCAGTGTTGATAACCCGCATGTATGCCGTCTGCTGGGTATCTGCCTCACCTCGACGGTGCAGCTAATAACTCAGCTGATGCCTTATGGCTGCCTGCTGGACTATGTGAAAGAAAAAAAGGACAACATTGGCTCCCAGCACCTGCTCAACTGGTGTGTTCAGATAGCAAAGGTATAAAAAAAGGAATACATCTCTTTTCACTTTAATATATATTATAAAGCATTATGTTTCACCTTGATAGGCAATCCACCTGACATGTTAAACTTTTATTGAAGAGTTTCTCTGGTGGCAACACTCAATCCAAAACCACTTCTTTGATTAAAGGGTATGAACTACCTGGAGGAACGCCATCTAGTGCACCGTGACCTGGCAGCCAGAAATGTCCTGGTCAAGACTCCCAGTCATGTCAAAATCACCGACTTTGGGCTGGCCAAACTCCTTAACGCAGATGAGAAAGAATACCACGCAGAAGGAGGAAAGGTCAGTTGCATCTAAGGAGTAGTATGATGTTCCTTTTTAATGCTGGTGATGGCGCTATTGATGGGAGCCCATCACTATATTTGCATATCCCACCGAGGAGCCTGTTTTCATGCAATATAACAGCATTGTTTCTCCTTTCCTTTGTTGTTACTGTATTTCTTTTGGGAAATATACTATCGCCTGTAGTCTCAAAACAGCAACAATCACTGATTTTATTTCTGTTTTATCACTCTATTTGTTCATTCTCCATTTTAAGCATCTATTTTTTTTGGCTTATTTAACATTTACTACTCTCAACCCAGTTTGGTCAGAAATCCCATCATTTAATGGTTAACAAAAACATTACAAGATGTATGTTATATTGACGGCAAATCCACTATTCCTAGCTAGGGAAGTCAAAGTTGGAAATGAAAGAATAAGGGGCTAATTGTCATTTAGCAAAACATGCAAAACAAATGTCCAAAATCACACATTTTAACATTTATTTGCTGCATTAAAGCTGCCTAGTCAAAGAAAATGTGAAAAGTGTGTTATAGTGCAGCTTTTATCTTTAATATAAAAATATCTTTATCATCAAGCATACATATCTACATACTGTGTTCATAACATATAATAGCATTAATCAGTGAAACAGAGACTTTGAGCAGAGCTGGTTTCTGGTGGATTTTCTATTGTTTTTTAGGAATAAAATGAACAGGATTTACCTTTGCAGATGATCTCTCATAATTGATCATACTAATTCTGTTTTTTCATCATTAAAAGTGTGGATCTCTAAGGTTGCATTTGAGACAAGGAACTTTCTCACCTGCTGAGCCTGATCCATCTGCCGACAACATTTTGTTTGGCAAACTTTTCATATTAGATGCAATGAAACGCATGGAACTAGCAATTACCTTTCAAATTTTCCTTCATCTCTAAAATATCAGGCCCATTGACATCTGAGATGTTTCTTGTTCAAGGCAGTTTGCAAAAATCCTTAGATCCCAAATGGCATTAGTCAGTCAGACCAGCCCAGCTATAGGCTACCCTGATAGTTTCACAGGTCTAGGCTGCGCTGTTTTTGAAAAATAGTACAAGTTGATGTCTGGTGTCCCAGCATTCCTGCAACCAGGCAACAATTGGCTGTTTTACCATGTGAAAGCTTTTTAGTGATTTTTGGGAAGTGTGTTTCCCATTACATGGGGTAAAAGTAACACCACATTTCAGAAGAAAAACATAGAACCAGGAGTAATGGTGATGGTAGTTTGATGATCGGGGCCTTTGCTACTTCAGGACCTAGAAAACTTTCTGAGATAAGTGGAATAATCAATTCTGTTGTCCACAAAACAAATCTGAAAATTAGGTTGTGACTTCAAGCTGAAACCAATACATACAATTTTGTTAAAACCCCATAAAATCCTTTTCTGTGTGTCTCTGTGGAAGTGAAACTCCAGCCTAAAGACTAAAGGAAAAAAAAGAAAAGAAAAACATTTTTGACAGACCTGTCGAGAATATTTTTTAGGCCTTTAAATCCATTTTTGTGGCTATAGTGCAACATTCCTGTAAAGATGATTGGGATAACATTTTCGCACAGCGCTGTAAAATACTCAGGTTATCCCATTTTGTACTTACTTGTGTTGTTTTTGATAAATATTTAAACTTGTTTGATATTCAAAACATTGCAGAATAAGAAAGCAGGAAGGGGCAAACACTTTTTCCACACCACTGCACATCTTGGCAACTCATATCAGGAGGAAAGATGCTTGGAATACCAAATACTTCCAAACATTTATACGCTGCAGGCTTAAAGTTTGGAGATTAAACTTAAACAAAAAATATATTATTGCAGGAAAACCATGTATCTAGTAAGCATACCCAGATTCCATGTTACTTTTTTTTTTATCTGATAGAGGCGTTGTGGAAATAAACTTGCAGTTGCTTCTAAACCGTTGGTCAGTATTGGCCTGACATTTTTGGTCTGTGAGACAGAGAAAGGTTTACTGAAACTCATGAATAGCTTTGAGCAATTAGTTCTTTAAATGCTGTCAAAGACCTGGCAGCATGGGATCTAAAAGTTTTTAAGCCAATAAAACTATATATAAGTTGTCGTTATGTCATACAATTTCTCATTCTGTGTTTATAGAAAATAAAAGCTTTAACTTGGCACTGCTTTTTGAGGAAATTTGTGAAACATCAAGTCTTTTTACATGCTTACAGTAGATCACTGGATCATTTGCATTGCATTTATGTTTTAGGCAGCAGCGAACTGCTACATGCAGTCTGACTTAGCTGAGATTGATAACACCTTTGATAACATAAGACCATGCATGAAAATACATTGCTGAAACAATATCAACTTAAAGCCTCACATATTTGCACACAGATTAAATGCAAGGCAAAAAAGTAATTGTGCAAAAGGAGGCTAATTCTTGTTTATGGTCTCACGCTTAATGAAACACATGAAGCATGCTAATTGGTGATCAAACTAAGAAAACAGATTCTAAGTGTTTTACCATATTAAGCTCATTCTTTTAACCTGTTTCTCTTCCTCAGGTGCCAATTAAATGGATGGCTCTTGAATCAATCCTAAACAGGACCTACACTCACCAAAGTGATGTCTGGAGCTACGGTAAGACTAACGCTTTACATCCACCGGAAAAACTTGATATGCCCCAGATTGAGCTTAAAAAGCTTATGTAACTTTGAATGAATAAAACAGCTGGGTCTACGTACTTCACTAGAGTACCGATGACAGTTGGACAGAAGAATAAAGTGTTTTATCAGCAGTTAAAGCAGGCAGCGGATTCGTGTTTTGAACCTTAACACAGGATGTTGTTTTTGGAGCTTTAAAAGCTATGAAACATTTAAAAACCCATTAAAAAGGGAAACTTTCGTTCCAGAATCTGAGACAGTTAGAAGACACCTACACAGCAGCAGGTTCAGATGGATGATTTTTACGTCAAAAGGAAAACGTTATCTCATCCCACTCATCTTTCCTGCACTTCAGGATTATAAAGATACTGAGAAATGCCTACACACACCACACACTACTTACATACACACTGAAACCAAACACAGCACAGCTTCTCTACAGCAGGCCTATGTCCAACATTTTCTTCCCTGAGGGATTGATCATGCCTCCTGCTCAATCTGGCAAAAGCATCAGCAGATCCTACCAAAAGTGATGGACTTCCTTTCCCCCCCTTTCGCCTCCCTCAGTTCCTCCAAAGCAAAGATACATCCTGTCAACTCCCACTCCTGCATTCGGAGCCAGTTTTTACATAGTTTGTGTGCGATATTTACCCAGAGAACATTTGGTCATTATTTGTTTCTTCTCTTTTATTGAGGTCAAAAACAAAAGTGATTGACAGCTCATGCGCCTGACATTACCAACTGCTTCTCGCATCTGTCCTGTAGGTGTAACAGTCTGGGAACTGATGACATTCGGGACCAAACCTTATGATGGGATCCCAGCCAGTGAAATAGCCGGGATTCTGGAGAAAGGAGAGCGCCTGCCACAGCCACCAATCTGTACTATAGACGTCTACATGATCATGGTGAAATGTAAGCATGTTCCTCTGAATTTTGTATTTATTATTTCAGTTTCCTACCATTACAACTGGAAACCTGAATGCTGTCTACATGGATTCATTTCAAGTAATAGATAACAAAAAAAAAGTAGGGCACAATTGTAACTGGAATTAAGAATAATATGTGGTTTGCAATTTTTAACAAATAAAGGTAGTTTATTTCATAGGGTATCTTGATCTACACAATCAAACATCTTTGTTAACCCCTTAAACAAAGCATCATCCAGTCATTGTTTTTTACTGGCAGTTGTGGTTGTTCCGCATTGCTTTATAAAACCAGATTGATAAGTTCACAAAAAATCTGACCAACAAAAGCCTTGAGTGAGCTTTTCCAGGATTTTGGCCTGGACACATACTTTAGAGATTAGCCTGTAGTTGTTAATGACAGGAATCGCCAACTTTTAATAGCAGAAGAACAAGTGCTGACTTCCATGTTCCTGGAAGCAAGTGATGAATTTAAAATATATGTTCTATATATAAATATATGTTATCTAACAACGTCTGCAGCTACTTCTAGAAAAAAGAGGGGTCTAGTGTACCAGGGCCTGGGGATTTAGTGGTTTCCAGGTTTTTTAAGCTATTTAAACTTCAGATAAATTAAAATGAGTAATATTAAAAGACTGACCTCAACAGCAGTTAAAGGAAACAAAGCTGATAATTTCCGGACTTATTAAGGATGTTGTACAGAATAACACAAGTGCCCAAAGAAAATAAAATGTTTGTTAAATGAGTCAAGAGTTATAGTCCTATTATAGATTATAGTCCTTTAGTGAGCTTACACCAGTCCTACACCATTTAACTGCCAACTCTAATGAATGTATGTATGTCCTTTAAGAAATTGTCTCCACAGGAACATTTTATTAAGTCCCCAAAAAGTGGTTGATTTTTCAAAGCAGAAGTAGTTTAAAAAAATTATATTTAACTTTTCAGTTTCTGACTGAAAATGTAAAACGATCTGTCTAAAGGTCAGGCAGTGGACCTGAGATGAGGATTTTCTGGCTTTTGCCCATCAAGCATCCCTCTCATTCTTTAGAGCAGGAAGTCTAGAAGAGAACCATGAGTTGAACCTTCGTTTCACCTGGAATTTATCATTGTGTTTATCAATGGTTTGCAGACCACTGTGAAAAGGTTTCAAGTCAACATCACTTATGAAATAAAATTTTCTCCAGTCAAATTCCCAAAGCTTCAGATGAAAGGTCTAAACGCTAACCAAACGCTGCTATAGAACAGTAGTCATTCAATCATTTGCAAAGATTCCAATGTTGCATTTTATTTATATACATTTATAACACCAGATTTGGTATAGTTGGGTTGCTTATTGACTGTGTATCACTTAAACAGCCAGTTTACCCGATGAGGGAAAAGGCCAGTCCTAGTAAAAACCTCCAACTAATAAAATCTTATTAAAATCTTAGGATAATAAGAGTTTTATTGAGGATAAAGCTTCACTGTTTGCAGAAGGAGGGCGATAACAGCCCACCAAAGTGATGAAATAGTCCCTTAAAAGCTCAATCTTAAGAACAGGAAATTCAAATTGTTTTCAGAGAGAGACTGGTGGCATAAAATAAAACAAATATGCTTTTTAAGTGTTGCTTTCTTTGGGTAATAACAGCAAAAAACGCTTCAGCCACTGAAGGCAATGTCTGTCAGTGACTGGTTTTGTTAACAAATTCTCTGATGAGGAGGATATCAGGTTCACTTGTCCTCACCTAGATTCTCACAAGGTCCAACTTTTAAATTAGATTTTCTACCAGCCCATTCATAGCTTTAAAATCATTTAGAGTGTCCGTTCAAATAGGAGCTGGACCAGGATTTGGCTGAACATTTCAATAAGAGCAATAATAAGATAAAAAGCCTTTTTCTTCAGGGAATCAGAGTTTTATCATACTTGTTGAGTCTGAGTTACACAGGTTTAGCCATTTATAACAGCTGTGGCATACAATATTCATAGATAAAATGATTTAAATAAATAAGAGTTAAGTTCATTCAGTAAAACAGGACAATATAATTAGACAGGACATAAGAAGCATGATTGCATAAATATAGGGAAAAGAACTTCAAGAATCCCTAGATTGCCTTCTTAGCTACATCTTTGAATAGGGCTCCCCTTGCCTGGCAGTTTTAGAACTTCATGGGATACTTAAAGCTAATGTTTGGTAAACCAATTTATTTAAGTGCGCCGGAGTAAAGAGGCTGAGATTGAATGCTTTGGTTTTTAGATTTTATCTATTGAACCAAAACGTAAAAGTTGTTTTGTTTTTTTCCGTTTAAAACCATTTGGTACTACTTTTTTTTTAATCATTATGCCTTAGGTGTTACTATGATAAATGCTAATGAGCTCATCATGTGTCTGCACAGGTTGGATGATTGACGCAGACAGTCGGCCTCGTTTCCGGGAACTAATAGCTGAGTTCACCAAGATGGCTCGAGATCCATCTCGCTATCTTGTCATTCAGGTAGCAATGTGCCTTATATGTTCATTCAGTCCGATGATGGACTTCATGGCTGTAATAGAACAAATTAAACTTTTTTTTTTTTTTTGCTCAGGGTGATGACCGCATGCACCTACCAAGTCCAACAGACACCAAGTTCTACCGCAGCCTGATTAGTGGGGAGGATTTGGATGATGGTGTGGATGCAGATGAGTACTTGGTTCCGCAGCACAGCTTCTTCAGCAGTCCAAGCACCTCCTACACCCCACTGCTTCACTCCACGGTATGTTCGGGCAAAAATCTGATAGGAAGCCTTAAATGTCCCTTCATCTGTTGTATAAAGAGCATTTATATTGTTTAAAGAACATACTCTCTGGAAAAGAAAATCAAGCTATAATGCTGAAATTCATTCTCATACTTTCAAATTAAATCAGCTCATTTCTGCTTATTTTAGCTTTTTTTGTCATCTTTTAACTTTAGAAAATGGGAATTTATACCCTTGCTCCACTATGAGTGAAACATAAAACAAAACTATTGTTGGTAATATCAAACAATTGGAAAAAGGTTTACTGGATAAGCATTATGTTTTCCTTTGAGTACGGATCACTGCTTCTCAGTGGGTTTAAGATACAGGGTTTTGTCAGCCTTTATGTTCCAAATTTTTGGTTCCACATAAAAAAAAACTCTTTATTTTTGTTTGGAGAATTGTTCTCCATATTGCTGGATAACACTGACCATCGTCACATTTTTTTTAGATTTTCAGAAGTTGCTGTAGGAGGACAGTTTTCCAGTCTATTAGTAACAGAACTCTCAGTGAGCCCACTCTCTTGGATGAGAACCAGCAGCACACATGGACTAATTCAGAATACTTCACTGTTGGCACCCCATACGACTCACTGTAGTCCATTCAACACATTGTTTTTCAATTGCCCCAGATGATCAGAAATATAATCCATTAGATGAAAAGACTGTCAGTCTTCTAAAACCCTATAAGCACTTCCTGCTGATTTGTTGACTTTGCTTTATGATTTTCTTGGACAGAAGTTTTCTCTTTGCACTGGTAGCCTTGTTTGAGTAGATTCATTTACACCACACCAGAAAGCGCTTCTTTAGTTTGCCTTGGGGGAAATGGGATTTCTGCATAATTATTATCTGGTAGCTCAAACCCAAAGTAAACTTTGCACTAAAGGAGAAGGAAGATCTTTCACTAATTGTAGATCAGCAATAAAAACTCATCATCATCTAAAATCAAGAGACAGGAAAAGTAAAATTGGAAGAATAGCCAGTGTCACCTGGACTGATGCACATTAGCTGCAGCAAGCCTTCCTCTGACAGCTGCGCTGTCCTGATCTCACCCACCCGGTGTCTTCCAGCTGCCCTACTCCCACATTTCCTCCCAGCTGGAATTTTAATTGTAAGGACCTTCTGTGTTCTCCATGGATAGGTCTGGCTCTTCTACCTGGAACTGTCATCAGCCACTCTTTAGTTCATTCGAGCTTCCAAGCTTGATTACATTTGCAGATAGGACTGGACGGCACTGGGGGCATTTTTTTTCCTACCACTCACTGTTAGGCGAAAGCTTTGTTTTGCTTCACTGTTTTTAATTTCCTTTTCCTATTTAAAATCGCTGTCATTCATTAATAGGCATGTGCTTGGTAGACATTTGGTTTGATCTCTGATTGTGTTTAAAGATGGCAGCTGCATTGAAAAATACATCATTGTCATCATTTGATTAAAACTTACTTTCCCTAGAGTAGCTTTAAGATAACTCACAGCAAACCACATGTGACTACAGAAATAAAAAGATAACATCAAACTAAGTTAAGGTCAGCAGCAAAAGGAACAAAATATAGTTTCATGATGTGATTAAGTATTAGTCTATGTTATTTGTTTCAGAGCATCAACAGCAGCAATGGAACATGCATCAACAGAAATGGCTTAATGGTGAGCAGAAATCTTGCTAAGATGTCTTAAAATCTGTGCATACAATACTTTTATGTGTTGGGTTTTTTTTTTTCATTATTGTGTCACAATGTTGAAAATGTTTCTTTTTAGAACGGTGTGCTGAGCAGAGACGGAAGCATGGTTCTTCGATATATCCCTGACCCAACTGACAAATTTATGGATGACGCCTTCCAACCTGCTCCAGGCAAGTATCAGCCTTTAAAACTGAACTATTTCATTTTCATTTAATCTTTACCTGACAGGGATAGTGCAAACAAACATAGTGACAAAACATAGCAAATTAATATCTACATGATGTTCATAGCTGAAGCAAATTTATTTTTATTAACAATAGAATCTACATACACTACTTCATATTTTAAAAAAACATGATCAAAATGTAGAACATACATCTAATATACAACTCTTCCTTACGGAAAATAAATGAGTACAATTCGGATTTGTCTTTAATGAGTTTTTGAGTTTGGTAGCCAGTTCACCATCATTTCATGATCCTCAGTGTGATTCAGTAAAAATACTGACATCTAGTGGTGGAGAAAGATTCTGCTATTTTCAAAGATTTTTCTTCTGATTGGTGATTCTTATTTAATTCATTAATCTTTTTATAAAAAAGTGTCATGCTCCTATTAAATTTTATTGTCAGAAATAGGAAGTAGGAAGTATTTCTCTCTGATTAATTAAACACAACTAACCTATATATGTAACAAACACAAATATTTATTAGAAATTTTTAAATATATATATATATATATATATATATATATATATATATATATATATATATATATATATATATATATATATATATATATATTTATCAAGTTTTTAGTTTTGACCTGTCTGAAATCCACAAAATTAGATAGAAAAAACTGTCTTGCAAAGTACTTCAAGAGATTTATAGTAATCCAGCTTTATATTTTATGCATTACCTTCATTAAAATCGAATCGAAGAACAAACAGTATTATTCCACATGACAATTTTGATATGTACATTGTGAAACATTGTGTTTAAAAAGGCCTGAGGATAAAGTCATTGCTGGTTAGTTATGATCTTTAAATCTTCGGGCTGTACTGCAGGAGACTCCATGCTGCCATTATAATTAGTAGCAGCATGTGGGCTTTTCTAATCGCAGGTTCAGTGACAGTCTGTCAACACCAGCCACTGCTTTATATAAAATAGTCTTCCTAAATTGCATTATATATAAAAGGTGCATTAGTTTTGCTTACACATACTAGGAATCTTTCTCTTGCCTTTTAGAAGTATTCTCAGCATCTTGAAAGATTTTCATATTCCTTTAAAAAAATGAAAACTACTTTTTATTCAAAAGGGATTTGATTTTATACATTTGCATAAAATGGTGTGAGCGGGTGACATATTTTTTTTTTTTATCAAATGTGTTTACAGATAAAAATCTGTTACAACTTTTTAAATAAAAAAAAAGATAGTAAGTAAGAATTTCTGTTTAGTTAGCTTCACTCTGTTATCTTAAATAAAATTCTATTGATGGAGTGGTCCTAAACACAACCAGGGCTTCAATGATCAAACTATATGCAGATTAAGTCTTAACCACTCACTGAGAATCGGTTATGAAGCTTAAAAATTGCTGCTCATAGATGGCCTCCAGTTGTTTTGCAGTGAAGAACAAATCTTTAGATATTGGAAAGCTCTTAGAAGTATAGTCTAAAAGGTTTGCACCCACCTTACAGTGTAGCAAAAAAGGGGTCAAATCCGTGTAGTTTAGTAAAAACTCAGACTAAGTGAAATACTTAAATGCTTGTGGTTTTAGCAGGACAAAAATGTGGAAATGTTCATGGAGCATGGCTACTTCTGCAGTGTCCTGACAACAAGCATTATTATATTGGTGTTTTATTCAACCAGAGGCCTTCATTTACATGTCACTGCTGTTTTCTTTCCACTGACTTCCTGCCATCTAAACTCAAAGAAAAACTATCAAATGTGCTATAAAACTTTTAACCTTTTTTTCTCTGCAGGCTACATGAACCACAACGGAGCCTCCAATGTGACGAATCCTGTCTACCAACATGCACGTCCCCCCCGCAGCCTCCTTCCAACCATCTCATCAGATGATACAGAGTCAGAGTACCTGAATTACTTTAAAAACAGGCCAAATGGACCTGAATACCTCAACGAGCTCCCGCCCTCTACCACACTTCCTTTCGACTCCAGCAACATGGTCTGTGTTGATCACAGCAACAGGCCTCAGAATAGCATTGACAATCCAGACTACCAACAGGATTTCACTCCCACCCCAAAGACCCACGCAAATGGACACATACCAGCTGCAGAGAATGTGGAGTACCTGGGTCCAGACTGAGGACCTTGGAGGAAAAGAAAACGAATTAATCCAGAATAATAGTCTGTGTTTTGCTCCTTTGGAAAAGGCATTTTTTTGTTGCTAGAAGCTCAATGAGCACCATCAGTGGAAGCTTACGCAACAGTTTTTCTTTAATACAAAACTTAAATGACCTTTCATGAATGAAAACAAGCCAAAAACTGGGTTGAGTCCTTCTCAGTTGAGCTTTGAGCTACTGGTCCTAACAACAGATAAAGTTGACCAGCAGCACATTATAGACCTGCTAGCATTGGACTCAGAACATCTCTCTCTGAGGAAGTCAACCAGATTAGAGGGAGGGATATATTTTTTTAGATTGATCACTAACCTGTTCTAAATCAGGTCAGTGTGCATTAAATACTGAACGTGTGAGCAAATACACCTATAGGACTGTGGTCATATTCAAACCAATGTGTTTTGTAGCTCAAACCTTTCAGCACTTTGTTATATAAAAGTATATTTTCTCGCAGATGTGACAAAGGGCTTTCCCACAGCGCTTATCCAAAATCAGATCCTATCTTTATTTTTCTGTTTAGTTAATACAAACCATAAAAGATTCTGTTTTTGTCCCAAATGTTTTTGTTTTCTGTAATGTTTATAAAAAGCCAAGGGAACTGTCTGAGGCAGGTTGTGTGTCATTTTAATTGTAACGTTTCATTGTCCTTTATTTTAAACATGATTGCATAGAAAGATTATAAATGTCTTTTTCTTTCATTTAAGAAAGTAAGATGGTTTTTACTTGGTGTTGACGCCATGTGTTCTGTTGCTCTTTAAGTCAGTAACTTTTGCAAGAGCATTATCTCTGCAAGTATTGTTCCTAGTTTTAAAGGAATAACCTATTGTAGCATTTTTGTTCCAAGAATTTAAACAGGTACCTGTACAGAAAACACTTAATATCCTGAAATACACTACCAAATAGCTGTAATTAATAATCCGTAAAGAAGTTTTGTCAAATGTCTATGTGAATATGCACGTGTTTTTTGACTGTGAGCATATAATTCAATAAATTACAGGAATAAATCTTTTTCTATAAAAAGGTATCTTTTGAGTTTTGATCCCATCTTCACAAATTGTTGGTGAAAAACAGGAAAACAAAGATAATTCACTAATTTTGGAGTTTTTTATTTACTGTTGCAAAAAATTATAAATAATAATTTCATTAAGTTTTACCTCTTTATGATCAGCTTAAAATCCTTTCACACTTTCATGCTGTTGTGGTGTGATTTCACTATCTGACTCAATAGAGTGAATAGTCAGGTTGTTTGGAGAAATTTAGATTTACAAAATGAAAAATGTCCACTCAGTAAGTGTGTATCAAACAAAATCAAAGATATTGATGTTTTTTCATTTCTAAGATGCTATACTTGCTGCACTTATTTAATTTTAAACTAATGTATGAAGTTACTAAACAAAAGAAAACCTCAATTAGTATATCAGCTAATGTGACATTTTTCAACATTAGCATCTTGAGTTACATTGCAAATATTTGGCCCCCTTGACCTTTTGACTTTTTGTATCATTTCAGGCATCAGATATAGATATAACATTTTGATTCTTTTTATAAAGAATCCTTTATAGGATCAACAGGTGGGACACAATCATGAAGTGGAAAGAAAGGTGTTTGATATTTTAAACTTACTTAACAAATAAAAAACTGATAAATTAGGTGTACAAAATGAATCCGCCCCCTTGAGTTAATACCTTGTAGCGCCACTTTTTGCTGCGATTACAGCAGGAAGTTGCTTGGGGTATGTCTCCATCAGTTTTGCATATCAAGAAACTCAAATTTTTGCTCATTCTTCTCTGCAAAATAGCTTGAGCTCAGAGAGGTTGGACGGAGAGCGTTTGAACAGCAGTTTTCAGTTCTTTCCACAAATTGTAAATTGACTGGATACTGGAGACCTGGATATGTTTATTTGTGAACCATTCATTGTAGATTTTGCTTTATGTGTTTGCTCACTGGGTTGTTGGAAGATAAATCTCTGTCCCAGTCTCAGGTCTTTTACAAACTCCAACAGGTTTTCCTCCAGAATTATCCTGTATTTTGCCCCTCATCCTTCTTCCCATCAGTTTTAACCATCTTCCCTGTCCCTGCTGAAGGAAAGCAGGCCCAAACCATGATGCAGCCGCCATCTTGTTTGACAGTGGTTGATGTTGTGTTACACCAAACATAACATTTTGCATATTTGCCAAAAAGATTAATCTGATCAGAGCACCTACTTCCACATGTTTGCTGTGTCTCCCAGTCTGGTTGGGGAAAATTTTAAACAAAAATGTTTATGGACATCTTTAAGAAATGTATTTCTTCATCATGAAGAAAGGATCATGGGTCTCTTGGCTAATTCTCTGATCAGTCTTCTCCTTGTTTGAGTTGAAAGTTTAGAGGGACGGCCAGGACGATCACAGAGCAGGTGCATTTATACAGAGGCTTGATTACACACAGGTAGATTCTATTTATCATCATCAGTCATTTAAGTCAACGTTGAATTATTCAGAGATCCTCACTAAACTTCTGGAGAGAGTTTGATGCACTGAAAGTATAGGGGACAATTAATTTCACTCACACCACTATTCAGTTTTTTACTTGTTAGATAAATCTAAAATATCTAATACAATTCATTCCATTTCATGATTTTGTCCCACCTGTTGTTGATTCTTCACAAAAAATTAAAATTTCATGTCTTTATATTTGAAGCCTGTAATGTGGCTGAAGATCGAAAAGTTCCAAGGCGGAGAATTCAAAGCTTTTAGTCTATATCTCCAAATTGGGATAGCAATCTTTAAAACTAGAAGTTTTAAAGATTGCTATTTTCAAATTAGTGAAACTCAATTATATAAGACAGGTAGCTTTAGTGTTAATTAACTTGATAGAATGTTAGCTATCCAGCATTTATGGATAAAATCACATATTTCCATGTTTATGAGGTTATATAGCTTCACAACAGTAATAAAATTGAAATTTAAAATGTGTATTTAACATTAATTTATAATACAGTTTGCATCAACAAAAACTAAACCAACGATCATAAGGTAAAATGTTATATTTTATAATCATATGTGTAAATCCTGGTTATAACCTGGAGATCCAATAATTCATCTGACATAAGTAGCAATAGTTAAAAAAATGTATTTAAAAGTAAGTTGGTGTTGAAGGACCAGGAACTAATTGGAACTGGAATAATTTGTGGGGAAGAGAACAGTGTTAGTGCCAAAGAACAACTCAGTGATGTGGAAGGTGCACTAAATGAAAGCCCCTAATCCTCTGAGAATCAGGGAGGCTGCACTGGCTCTGATGAATGAATGTCTGGTTCAAACCTTTATGGTGCTAGACAGGGCTAAGTCTAGTAGGTCAGAACCGGGGTCATGCACAGAAAAACAATTCACATGGTAGGGGTTTCAAGAAAGGCTAAATGAGAGGGTCAGCATTTAATTATTTATAGTAGTTTAGATGGTATGTATTCAAAAACATGCTACAGATAATTAAATCAAAGATGATTTTACATAGTGTATACTAAAATGTCATGTGGTGCAAAAAAATTGGCAAGCTGGTCAGGAGGGCCAGCTCATTGATGTGAAAGTGACTGAGAAGAGGATGGGAGGAAAGCTAAAAAAATACCATGGGCAACACCTTTTCACCTACCTGCAGAGCAGAGGCAGCCTAGGTGCTCCTTCAGGTTTATCCAGCTCGGAGACATTAAGTGATCGAAAGTCTCCTTTGTGTCATCAGGACCTACAATACCAAAGGACAAAACTCAAAGAGTTTTTGCTGAATTTAATGCTTTAGTTGTTTTTGCTTTACCTGTCATGTAGTAATAAAGCTACATCACATCTTATCTTTTCTAGATTATTCAAATTTATTTAATAAGAGTCTAAAATGAGAAAAAAACAACACAATGAGAATGGCTGACTGTGAAAACCTATTCATTGTTCCAGTCATTGAAATTAAAGTCTTAAAAATGGGGAACATGCTTTTTTTTATATTTATTTCAACGTGTTGTTTTTTTTTTTGCATCGGTGTTATGCTGTTTTATAATATAGATATAAAACATTTCTACAAATAACAGCACAATTGCTAACCATTGTATTGCTCATGTTATAAAATAATGGATATTGTAAAAACAATTTGTTAATAATTTAAAATAGAAAGAAGTAATACATTGTGCATTTGACCACTTCTGCTACCCAGACCTTGCCCGAGTTACCTGTTATCTGTCCCCACTTCCTGAAACCCTCAATTATAGTTTTATAGTCATTTAACACATCTTGTAAATAGATGAAAGATAAAGTTAGAAATGTTTCTTTTATATGCACAGTATTTGGCATCACCTTTAAATGAAATTGGTGCGTCCATGTGTTTAAATACGAAGTTTACAGAGAAAATACAACCTTAAGGTAACGGTTTCAGTAATGTTTTGACCATTACATGAAACACACTTTATAATTTAAAAATAACCATTTGCAAAATTAGGTTTCTATTTGAGTAGAAGGTAAAAAAAATAATAATAATTTTCCATAATGCCCCCAAGATACATTTAATGCACCTTTTACTGCATTGTCCTTACTTGATACAAAAATTTAACAATAAATTACACAGTACTATTTATCATATACTATTCATGATATATGATATTATTTTATTTGTGCAAAAAAACATATTTACTGTATAACCTATTTACGAGTAGCAGCTGTGCATGCTACAGTGAAGTCTAACAGGAAAGGAGAATTTAAGTGCAATTTAGGTAGCCTATATCGTTGAAAAGCTTCAACATCACTAAAAAGGTTTTATTGATTTAAGAAATACTTGAGCTATGAAAATTTCTCACATTTTGTACATACTGTGCAGACTCTATTTCATTCATTTTAGATCACAGGACCAAATTGCATCATCATCTCGAAACAAAGTGCAAAATAAATAGATTTGTTAGGAACAGATAAAATATCAGTAAAGATCTCTATGTCCTATTTCTCACCAAGAGACACTTATAGGGACTGCTTAACATGTT